CTTGGTGTCCAGGCCGGCGCGAGCTTGGCCTTCTTCCGCGAAGAGCAGAGGCGATGGGTGCCGGCGAGCTACAAATTTGATCTTCCAACCAAAAGTTGTCTTTGGCCGTGGAGGGTGCCCTTAAAAACAACAACACAAAAACAAATTGGAAACCAACAGAAGGGCAACCAAAAGGGTTTTGCCTTGGGGGGTGCCCTTTTTTAAAACCTTGGATTTGAAGGGACGCCAAAAGGACCACCACATTTTTGTTTGGCCCCGCCGTATGTTGAGACATACCCAAATGGATCCCTGGCAATGGATGCCGGGGTTTATCCCCCCCCCCCCCCCAATATTCGACTGAGAATTGGCAACAGGTTTCTGGCAAGGCAGATGTCTGACAAACGGTTGATTCCTGAAGTATGGTTTGTGATTTGTTTCCTTGCTTTGTACTTAGGGAAACCAACTGCAAGGGTTCCTATCTTGAAACGCTTCACATGCTGTTTTTTTCAGTCGTAGATGGACAAAGGATATTGACTGGACCAACGATACGTTTGAGTTAAAGGGGACCTGCAAACAATGTGACACAGACAAATCCAGCTTGTTCCAATTGCTGCTTGCAGCATGCTGCACCTTGATTTTGCATAGGCTTCTCTCGAATTGGTCCCGAGTCTGGATACGCCGGCACAACCTCAAGGTTCTCAGGAGGTTGGCTTTGACTCAGTTTTCTGTTGAGGACTTTATGGCAAGGGCAGTGGCCACACTCGTTTGACTTGAACGGCGATGCGAAGCGAGCTATACTGGGCCTTTGCCATGTGGCCCATCAGCTGAAAAGGTCTTGAAGTACGGAGTGGCAGTCCCTACGTTGCAAAACCCGGCCGCCACTACACATTTGTCCAGTCCCAAAATGCATGCGGTCAAGCCCTAAAGGAGGGAACATCGCCTGAAATTAGAAGGCCATGTTGCAGGTTGCAGGTCCACAGAGGCTCGCGTGTGCTGCATGCAGGCTGATCATGTCCCGCGTGTCCAGCTTGCAAGATCTTAGCAACTCGGAAGGATCCTGCAGTGCACGAAGTGGGCATGGGCCTTGAAAGTGGCGAGGAAGGGATGTGCATATAGAACTGTTGCAAGACAAGTGTGCTTTGAAACAAGCGCTTATGTCATTGTTGTCAGACTCTGTGAACCCGGGTGCTCACATTTCCCCTTGCATCATGGTCATTTTGACATGCTTTCCATTTTTTGGCGCGGGTTGGACATATACTGACCCCTGTGCAAGGCCAGTGTCTCTTCCGCAGTTGATTGGAAGCTGAATTGCTTCTGGCAAGGTATACATATCTAGTGTGCAAAGTCCCTAACAATGCGGCCACCTGCTGATCTGCCTTCAGTACTGTTGCTGGAGCCTTTGTTAGACTCATTTTTTTACCCTTGCTCGCTTTGGGAGCGTACGCGTTGTGCATCTGGACTTAGCGGCAAATCAGAAGCCTGTGCTGTACTGGGCTTTCACACGCAATGCCGTGGGTGCTTGTGATGTTGCCCAGCCTCTCCATTTGGCCTGGCTCCATGCATGGGTTGGCTCCTCCTATGAGAGGACCTTCAGCAGCAAAACTGCAGAAATGGGTGTGTCTTTTTATGAGGGTGCCTCTTGGGTTGGTTTGAAGGGAAACCAGAGGGAAACCAACCATTTTGGGGGCTTCCCTATTTTGAGACAAACCCAAATGCGCCTTTGGCGAGTAAGCAGACTCATTTAGGGCATCGAGCCCTACACAACTTTGAGGTGTCACTTCGGGGCTGAATCCAATCATGCTTCCTCAAGCTGTGATGCAGTTCAAAACTTGAATTCCATGTTTGTGAGGCTTTTTCAGAGCTTTTTCCAGGAGTTTCCCCGGAGAATCCCGCAACAGATCAGGGGAACCAAGCAAGGGGGCACAATCCCCATGGGACCGTTCCGTTTTCAGGCCCGTTTCTGAGGCGACGAGGTGGAGATGTTGGCTGCAGCGGAGCTCCTGGTGAAGTTCGACGCAGAACTGGCGTCCTCCCACCACAGCTTCTCTCAGTTCGTGGCCGCAGGGCGTGGCCCGGCGGTTCCTTCGAACCAGAGGGAACCCAACCGAAAACTGGCGTGGTCGTGGGTCAAAACCCATGGGATCCCATTTTTGGATAGGGAATTCACCACCCATTTTAGGACCTATTTTAGTGGGGATTGGGATGTTCACTGGGGGTACGGGATTTTGACCCATAGCCGTGTGGGATCCAGGCAACTGCGGCATCTCATGTTGAGTAGGGAAGTAAAGTGGAGGGACAGAATTGGAGCCTTCAAAGCTGGGTCGGTGAACCCCCTGAAATGTGAGGGTTAGACCATGAAATCAGACGGTCAAGCAAGGTTGGTGGAGTCTGACCGACCCAAGACCAAGCGGACGCTGGTCAGCTTGCTCAACCCTACGCCAAATTTGAGGGGCACTTTCGGGGAAATGCGTCAAACTCTGAGGGTTCAGTTAGAAGATGCCCTACGTTTGGCGCGGCCAAATTGAGAGAGGGGCGGTTTCAGCTGCCCAGGGACGCCCGAAAGTTCGAGTGACTGATCCTTAGGTGAGTACGTCAAGGGCAAGTACGAAGTCATCCGCATGATTCAGGAGGCTGTGCAGGCAACAAAGCATTGTGCCTTGGTAGGCCAAGCTGGCGCAAAAGCTGCATGCCTCACTTGTCTGACTTGGGCGGGGTCGGACACATGTTCTCAGAGGCATGGAGCATGAGTGCTGAAAGCTGGAGCTGTTGGTGCCTTGGGCCGCTCTTTTAGGCCGCAGCAGCTTTTCGCTGAAGACCATTGCCAAGAAGATCGCACGGGTGATCCTGACGAGTTTTGAACCGGGCTTTCAACCCTCCGTTTTCGAATTGAAAGGCGGAACCACGCGCCGCGCAGCATGTTTTGATTTTCTCAAGTGCTGCCTGCCTTTGGCCATGGCAGAATCACCATGATTCTGGTTTTTGCAAGCGGCGTACCAGGGGCCGCAGAGTAATGCTGGGTGTCTGCAAACATCTATCACTCTGATACCTGTTTGCCATAGCTGTCTGTGAAACTTGGCATCATGTGTTGTTTTTGTTTATGTTTTCACCTGTATGCTGAAAAGAAGGAACTACGGAGTACTTGCTGGCTATTCCATAAGGTGCCAAAGGCGTGCTTCTTTTTTGTGCAGGACTCATGGGCATGGTGTGAGTTGCTTTTCTAGCTTAGATAGGTACGTGCCAAAAGAGGGTGCCCTCAAAACAGCACACCCCCAGATGGACAACTTGGACGTATTCGCTGTTCTGCTGCCTTGGATCTTGGCGAGTGCGTCAAATGGGATTGCCAAGCCTCAGGGCAGAACCAGCAAAAGAGCGCACCGCCGTCCATGGTCCCAGATTGAGGCATGTGTTAAAACTAGGGACCATCTAAGTTGCTGATCTCCTGGTCTTGGACCCCATCAATATTTCCATTGATTTCAGCGTCGAATGGGCCTACAAGAGTCCAACTTGTGTTTACCCACTCTTTAGACCGAGAACGCAACACATCGCCACATGGCGGTAATTGGCTGGCTGAGAGGGGGAAAGCCCTGCCCGTCGACTTGGCAGGCAGACAAAGCCCACCTCTCCATGAAGACAGCGTTGAATACTGCTTCCCGGCTGGTGATGTTTGGAATCTCCGACAGGCTGAAGTTTGTCACCGAACCAGGAGTTCGCGACCGAACAATACTTTTTAAATGAGCCAGTTTGTGGGTGGCCCTCTAAGTTCGGAGGCAAACACGCTGAGGTCGGACAGGTTGCGGGGACTTGGATGGGACAGAAAGGGACATTCAGACATGGGAGGACGTGAAGACTGTGCGGCGTATGCGCTTGGAGACTTTCAGAGGGTTGCATGGGAAAAAGGATCCTTTTTGCGGTGAAGTTGGTCTATCTCCCCGGTGCGGCAGTTGGGGGCCTTGGGAAAGGGTTGGGAAATGACTCGGATGGGCCACGGACTCTGATGGACTCACCAGATGCTTGGGAAAGGGTTGGGAAATGACTCGGATGGGCCACGGACTCTGATGGACTCACCAGATGTGTGCTCAGGGCGGCTGTGCCGATATCTTTGGGCCTCGTGGATGACTTTATGACCTTAGATTGTAGAAAAGGTGATCAACATGGGATCAATGCAATTCTGCGGATTAGACCTTGCTGATCCAGGAATGGAACCTTGGCAAATCAGATGCGAATGTGCGTTACCCAAAGCACGACACACGACGAGGCTCCGGCAGGTGCCTTCGTCCCGTCACATTTGGCTGTTGAACCACCTTGTCCCCTTAAAGGCGTCTTGGACTCGTGCTACACCAAAAAGCGGTGGAAAATCGGAGTGATGGCAACTCTTCCCTCAACTTTTTAAGGCCTTGACCCAAGCCAAATGGCCCCCCGGTCGCCGCTGGTCGCCGCTGAACCCGAAGCTACTCGAAATCGCGCGAAATCGCGTGGCGTTCTTCGTGAGGCCTGGAGCACCACGGCGCTGAGCTTGACGCGGGTGGGGCAGCTGCTCAGCGAGGGCGGGCTTCTGTTGCACTTCCTCCGCGCCTGGGATGGCAACCAAAACGAGTTGGCTGTGGGTCAAAACCCTGGAAACCCCTGGTGAACAGCAAAATAGGTGGCAAATGGATGTTCATCCACCCCAAAGTGGATCCATAGGTTATGCCCCATGGCCAGTTGAGCGGGGAAGGAGAAGAGAAAGAGACGACTCCTGATCTTCAGTGGCTTTTTCTCCTTCTTTTTTTGGCTCCGTGCTCTCTTTTTAGTTGTTTTTGTTTGGGGTTTTGCCAGCTTGATCGTGGCAAAGGGTTCACTTTTTCCAGCAGGGTCGTTGGGGCAACTTGGCCACTGCAAGTTCGTCCATGCCAGGGCTTGATATTTTCTTGATTTAAGAGCTTTTGCTTTTGGTGTTTGCTTGTTGATCTGAGGGTGAGCTTTTTGTCTGGCTGCTGATTCTGCTATCGGCCCCGCAGGTTAAAGGCAGTCTTTCGCCTGCA